GGGGGGGGGGGGGGGGGGGGGGAAAGACAACAACGACCTTGAGATATCATCACTGAGTTGAACGGCCCCAGGCAATTCAGAAATATTTGGTTTTACTCATTATGTGCCATCATCTGGATTCGAACTACGATCTGTATTTCAGTAGTTCATGGGTGTACCCACTGAGCTAGACTCTTGGGTGTTTTAGCTTTTGCAAATCCTCACACAGCTTCAACCCAAAAACACAAACAAAGCGGGCCGATGCCACATGCGGTACTGGCACAGATGCACCTTCCAGATTGCATGCTGATCATTTTCTAACTCGTTCAGCATGCAGTTTGCAGCCCTTCAGGCTGCACTTGTACTGGTTGCGTTTTGTCATTTAGCGAACGTTGCCATTTCGGGAAAAGTCGTGAGGGACAATGACGCAGGGAGGGGTCGATTTCGGGGTGCTGAAAAATGCAAGGGATGGCCGCGCGCACATTACGAGTGAGAGCGGTCTGTGAAACGGCCGTGTGCCTGCTTGGGGGCGGGCGGGGGCCATATTGCGGAGGGTGACGCTTGGGTTTCCCGTTTGGGAAATGGGTCGGCCTTGTAGGCGTCTGGCCGGCGCTGTGGGGGGTAGCGGCCAGTTTCAGGAGGAAGCATGGTCTCTCGCGCATATCTGCCAGTTGAAGCGTGGTCTCTCGCGCGTATCTGCCAGTTGAACGCTGAGATATTCGGCCGCCGGCAACGTATCTGATATTCAGCTGCCGTCAATGTATTGCAAGGAAGATGAGCAATAGCGAACTTCAGCAATCAAACAGCATCATATACACAAGACCAGATAGTTGTGACCTCGAACCAACAGCAGAATTGCATCACGAGTTTCACCAAATAAGAAGACACCAAGAGCTCATAATTGACAATGCTGGTAAAGTCTCATCATCATCATCAATGAAGAACCAATGTTGATATCCTATCCGGCGCTCGGCGCCCAGACTACAGATGGCAGATCCTATTTAGCCTAGACTACAATGCCGAATGATGACGTCAACAGCTTTCCCGAAGTACAAGCATACAGCGACCAATGTCGCACGCTTCCAGCACCAGGTATGTCTCTCGCCTCACTCACAACCGCGTTCCCCAACACACAGATGCCACTAGCACCCAAGGACCACCCTGCGCCACACCCAGCTTACAGCAGCGCAGCTCGGCTATGGCTGCCTGCTCTTTCCCTGCTCGCCCGTGAGTGCGTAGGCGCCAGCCAGCAAATAGCGCAGCAGCAGCGCTTGCGCAGCATGCAGCCAGCACCCGAATGGCGAATGCGGAGGCAGGCCCTTTGCTATATCGAAGTGGCCTGCCTGCGTCCCGTCCCAGGAAGCTTCCAGTAGGCCCTCGTAGCCTGAGGCCCAGCACGAATGAGAACAGGCCTTGGGCCTGAGGTGGTTGCATGCACCCAACTGCCTTTGGCCTGTGTTTGGCCCTGTACCTGTATCCAGCCCAGGGCCTGCTTTCCATACATTCACGCAGGTGGCCCAGGGCCTGGATTCTCTCAACCAAATGGCACTGCGCAACTGCCTGAATTTCCTTCGGTTGCGTGGTGGCCAGAATAAGGCCCTGAGGGCCTCGTCGAGCCTGCCTTCGCTTAGGGCGGCCGACTGGCTACAAAATGGGGCCTTATGGGGCTCATAGAGGCAGTGGCCTCGCAGTATCTGACGCTGAGATATAGGGCATCGCGACACCACTGTCTATATGTACAAAATGAGAATGAACTTCCCGTTAGAACATCCCCAGACGCACCAGCCACATTTTTGTTTGCCTTTTTGCACATTTCGAGAGTGGTGTGGCGATGCCCATACAGCCGTCAACGTATCGGGGCTAATACTTGGCACAAGGGCAGAGAGACGTCACTCATACCTGGACTTCGCCACACGCATCTGACCGTCATAAGGTGCCAAAAAAAGAGCGAACGAACAGGGGAGAAAAAAAAAAAAGAAAACGAATGAACAGGGAAAAAGGGGGAAAATGAGTCCCCGCCTTTGTGGTCCTGGTCGCCCTCCGGGTGCACCACGACGCCCCGCGTGGTATATCAGTCTGGGCCGTCCGGTACCCCCATGCCAGATTGGGCTGCGCCACCACGCCCCGCGTGGTACATCAGACTGGGCCATCCGGTACCCCTGTGCCAGACTGGGACCCGGATCACCTCGAAAACAATCAGCACAAGATGGGGAGTTGATACCCCCACAGCGAAATAGCCAGTGTTGCAATGTAGAGAAATGCATGGAAGGGTATACTCCCACTTGCACTTCTTTTACCTATGTTCGGACGGAATTGCATCCAGATGCATACAGGTCTAACCGTAAATGCCGATAGATACACTTAAGGTAGTGCTACCCTGAGATAGTGTGAGTACGTCCTCAGAAAGGTGTCCACTGGGAGTGTTCCCTAGCTGACTCTACAATCATCGCACGTGCTTATCCATCATTCTTTTAAGCCCAACCAATTCAATTACCTGTCAAATCTGGACAGGACGGCCTTTCAGGCCTTTTTTATTGTCATTATAGTATTACGGGGAACCACGTAGCAGCCACATCCGTGCTCAAGCCTCCAACGAGGGAACAT